TATATAGATAAATATTTATATATAATTATTTATTTATATACGATATAATAATAGTTATATATTGCGATAACTTTTCTATTTTCCTTCATATATAATGTAGTTATATTCTCATTACACATTTATGTATATATATTTCATCAACAGTTGCACCACAATATTATTGCAGAAGCACAAGGCTTGTCGTCTATATATAATAATATCAATATATAGATGATAATTTACCTAACTGTTTTATGAAAAAAGTTAACAGCTTCTGTTCAAGACTGTTTCTGCTTTGTAAACGAAGTCTGCTCGAGGCAAACTACAGTGATGTCCGATAATGATGTACACTACAGTTTAACCGCAACATGGCCTGCCTCCACGTGAGACCTGTTTGATCAACATGATCAAACATTAACGTGCCTGTTACGGATTAAATCGTGCGACAAAATCAGCAGCCCAACTTGACTACTGAATGGCCGACAGGTTGGAGTCTAAATGGCTTTTAGCTATATATAGTCAAATGTCAATGATTGTATAGTCATAGCCAATAGACAAGAAATTTGTATACTATAAGCATACAAGTGAGCCTTGCTCCGAGCGAACAGTTCATCTCGAGCCCGTGATGCTATTTCCCAGCCTGTATTGCGCATAGGCTACATTCAGACTGAAATGAAATAAAAAGCTTTTCGACAATGGGTTATGGCCTGGTCATGGTTGTATAATGAGCCTGCCATTCTTAGCAGAATTTAGGCAAAGGCTGTTGCGGCAAGAAGTATCAAGATCAAAATAGTTTAAGGAATCGCGCTATATATTGCTATGTGTTATCTAGAAGACACTAGTACAGCTGTGTCACCGTCTACCTACAACGTCCCCAAATAGTCTATAACCTAGCTGACTGCCAACTCAGAAAATAACTATGCTAGCAACAGTGCAGCCCGGCATTAATATAGGCACTAACGGCAATAAACTACGGCATCAGGGGCCTGTTTAAACCAGTGCCGCGGTTTGGCGTTGATCAGCCATTCTGAAACGGACGATTGTCCAGTGATATTAGTGCCTGCATGACGGACAGAGGTGCCAGAATGCGGGAAGGTTCTCCTTCGAAATAGCGGCTAACCTGTCAGGTGATTAAACTTCAATTGTTCTATATTGTGACCTTTCAAACTTTAACAAACTGTGCACATATCTGTGTTCATGTGCGCGACTTATAGGCTAAACAACTTCTGGAGCTGACCATGAAGTTGATGGTACTTACGGCCACAATTAACTTTTTGTATAGATCAATATATTTTAAAAGAGTGCAGAAGCTGTCTAGCCACAAAAAATCGAATGTTTCAATAGTTTGAGATTCAACTTCCCCTTAAGTAGTATTTACTACTGTCCCTGTGTTCTAGAGGCACTTATCCTGAGCAAATGCATTCCTCAAGTTACGTCACTGCAAATTGATTTGTCAATTTCTGTGCGATATGTATACGATTACTAAGTGTTGGCCGGTAATTAAGCTTGCTTGCATAAAAGCAGCATCGGACCTGGCAAGAACAATCAGTTTGATGAGTGGCTATTTTTCTTTGGAGTGCGTGCCTGTGTCAAAATTTGCAAAAATAATTGAAACCTGTACGGAGGTTTAATAAAAAGAAGCAGAACGGCTACGGGCCGGCCACACCATATGGTCATATAAACACATGCACACACACCTAAGCTTTGTTCTAACGTCACACGATAGACAACTATTACTGCAGCATTATCTGCTTTCTTCTGGTGGCTTACTTCAGCTAGTTCAACACGACTCTTTTCCGAGTTCTCTCTATGCACCGGGTTCAATTAACAGAAAGCCTCTCGTCCACGTCTGGACTGCGGTGGGACGAGGTACCCTGGTCTGGTTTTTTTAGAAACTACAGGAACCCATCTACTCCTTATGCTGACTAACTGAATATGTGTCTGACCGAACAGAGTTATGAATGATCGCTATTTCCAGTGAAGTCAGTCCAGTAGTTATGTACCTGTCTATTTGTACACGGCTCATAATAACCGCAGTGTGGTGAACGGCAATGATGTGGACAAGCGCGCCTATTTATCGCTGAAATGAAGCCTAAAGATACAATATAAGAAAAAATCCTACAAAAAAAAGTCAGCGCAGCTGAGAATAGGTTACTTGGTAAAAATACGCGTCGTTTATGTCAAAATTTGTTTTAAATAGAATACGATATCAATATGTGTTTATTAACAGTATTGCCATCGTCAATAAGATTGCACTCGGTTTTTGCATTTACTACAGCCGTTTACATTGAAAACCGGTTAAAGAACAATACGTGCCTCACGCATCACCACGCTAAGGATGAATGAAGCTGCCACTTTAACGAAATCGTGTATTTAATACCACACAAAACACGTATAATAGAGAGCTGTGTGCCCTTGACAGCGCCTATGATCCATACGACATAAATAATCTCGAGGTTATGGTTGTTTGATTCAAACATTGTTTTTTGCGTCCTGTTATTTAATGTGATATATATATATAGTCCTCGGTGCTTATGTACCTCGTCCTTGCACACCTCAGCTACACAATTATGATGCCTAATTACTGTATACACAATAGTATATAAATCACCTCAGTCTTAAAGACGTTCGAACATTAGGCGGGCACCACAAAACCATCAGTGAACAATTTGTCTCTTAACTTAGGTATATGAATGCTGAATAAATTAGGTAGTCACTGCCGCGTTGTAAGTTGTCTAAGATTAAACATTTCGCATAGTCGAGAGGCAATGAGAAACTCATTGCACCTGATCATCCATTTGATCAAGTTTTCGTAACTTCTCACTAATACGAACAAATGATCGGTCAAAGGAGTGATTTAAACACTTCTCGCCCAATGTAAACCACATTCCCTTCTTACGGGTATATGGAGATGTATATGTGTGTATAGTATGGAGAAAAAAATTCCGAAATAGTTCAGATCTCCTATTCGATACAACCTTGAACAGATGCCCTTGTAGACCGTACGGCATGCAATGTGGTCTTGTTTCGCAAAGTACTGTTTACTCATAATAATGGATAGTCAATCTAAATGCAGTCATTCGTGTACCTAGTATACGAGAGTTTGTATATTGAATGTGTATCGTAGATCTAAACTCTTATATTGTACATATTGAATGGCCTGCTTTCGGGCATAGCAACACACGGCCAGTTCGGCTCGAGAACGTACTATTACGACACGTATGCCTCAATGGTGGGTCACATGGAACACTAACTAAACTAATTCAATTGTATCTAGTATACCGGGCTGTTAGATATGATGTTGCTATATTGTGCTAATAAATGATTTTCGTGAACAACGTTCAGGTCCTAGCTGATGATTGTAATCACAGAAAAATCAAAATATAGGGTCTAAAGCTAACCACCGACAAGGGCGGTAGCCCTCTCCTTACAGCGAGACGAGTATTAAAAGTATTGTACTACAGGTCATCGTAGAAACGAAAGATTCCATCATTATGTACAACAGCCATCTAGACTGTCCTCCTATAATGTCTAATCGCACTTTTAGAAATACTCGGCCAATATTCGACGATGACTTTGTTCTTATACGGTTCGTAAAGCGAGGTGTTTACTCAACTATGACCAATAGATAGATGCGTTTAGGTGAGGCGCAACTTGCTACGTCCATCAGACGTGGTATTGAGAACAAGTACCAAAATCAAGCGCTATATGCTTACTGTATGAATCACAGTGAGCGCTTGTGTTCTTCATTCCTGTCCAAAGCAGCCACTGTTCTTTCGAGGTAGAAGTTTTAGCGGTTTTGTGAGCTCTCCGTGAAATAGGTGCATGTTTATACCCGGTTTTGTTATTCGACTAACGTTTTGTGTTTCAATAGCCTAGGTCAACCCAAATTTGATAACGAAAGATTCGAGTAAATTGAACACGGTGTAGTATCTCGCTCCATGAGGACTTACACTATTGGATAGGACACGCCAGATATCTACTTGCACGTGTTCAAGCGTTATTCGCAAAGCTATAGCACACATCTCTTTCCGCTATATTCGACTGGGCGAATGCTTACCCATTGGTACAGCTTCGAAAAAAAAAAGAGGATGAAAGCTTGGCACCGAATATACTACTATTACGAACACTAGATCACACATCAACGTTTTCAGGGTGCTCAACTGCTCGTCATTGACTCCAGTATGGATGACCTGGTGTTCTCTTTGTATGACTTTATCGGACTCGCGATATGCGGTATTCAATTTATTATTACTAAGTCGATTCGATCATACCTACATCCAGTGACGAGTATTGTTTAAAGCCTAAAGCAGAGAATCTAAATGATTCATCCACAAAGACGCAAGTGTCGTTCCGGCTCTCAGGAGCTGTTCTTCAAAGTCGGTCTCCTCGTGTGAAGCCTGTGCACCGGTTCCGCGTTTAACGCCTCGGATCACCACAACGTGTCTTGCTCACATCGTCCACATAGACTCCTCGGTTTCATCGCCGCCTTCACTTGATCTTGATCGTTTCCATTTATCAACAAACGTGGCAATCTCCTGTAAAATGCTTATTACAACAACGTCTCTTCTATAGTTGACAGCTTGTTAGTCAGTGAGAGCTGTGCGTGATATGCTGGGGGTAAGGTGGGTCGGCAGGCTCGTCCCTCATAACTGAGACCATAAGCAGCAATTAGAATGAGCGCGTGCGCACGATTTCGAGATCTTCTTCGTTAGTGACGAATGCATTAATTATTATTATTATTATTATTATTATTATTAAATTATTATTATTATTTCGACTTATTATCATGAGACGTGTTTATTTTAACGCTTCTTATAGTTGGCCTTTACATCGACAGACGGGACGATAACAAAGACTGAACTGATTGGTTGGCTGTTCGCTTGTCTTATTTATGAAGAAGTAAAGAAGTAGTAATGGCAGCACTGGCTGTCACAGATTGCTTGATGCGGTTATACTCAGCGGACAGTGGCATTCGACGAGTTAACGACAACGGTGATAGTAGCTGTTGTAGTAGTAGTTATGTAGTTGTTGAGGAGTTATCATTTGTAGTTGCTGTTGTTGCGAGTGCTGTAGGAGATGCTGTTGTTGTTGCTGCTGTAGGCGAGACATCTGCAACAGTTGCAACGTTCTGGACAGCCTACATCCAACCATCCATCTGGGTGAGAAAAATACACAGAAATAAATAGAGACAGATAGACAGCGAAAGAGGGAAAGGGAAAAGAACGAAACAGGAGAAAAGAAAAGAACAACATCGAAACACAGAATAAACGAGATATAGAAAGAAGAGGGAAATATAAGAGAACGGGACGACAACAATAACAACAACAAAGAGACAGCAGACGATAGCAGACGACCGGTTAGTAATTGGCCACATGGTCAGTAGTAGTTCAATCAGTTTTCGGTAGGTAGCAGTGATTTCTTTTGCTAGTTTTTGGCCTGCCGCCACCGTCGTCGCCCGCCCGTAGTTACGCTTATTACATTCCAACCGAGTAAGGCAAAAGGGTAATAGAAACGCAGCCGTACTGGGTGCTAGCGCGGACATTATTATTAAATGTATCTCGCAATATCTTAAGTAGTGGTGAAAAGAGCGGATCATCGGCCAGTTGCTGCGCGGGCCACAGAAGGCGTTCATGCTGTTTCCGGTGGTTTTTTCGATACTCTCTGGGCTGGTTAAAATCGGCAAAGTTCTGATACAAATACTTTGAGATGGGCCAATTAAAGATCATTGAGCTGTTGGGCTTACCTCCGCTGGCAGAACGTATTTGTGGCCATACAAATAGCGAGCAAGTAAAAGATCTATTTGGATCGTGATCGCTAACGAGACCCATCATTAAAAAAGGGCGCGATTTCATTCATGCTAGATTGGTGCTCGCAGCCGGATAAACATGCTTGAAGGCTAGGGTGTAATACTGATGTGACACATGTTTACCCTGTAGTGTTGACCGTTACAGAACATCACTATGACAAAAAAAAAAAGCCTACATTTAAGAGCGGAAAGGATACATTCAAAACGTGGGAAGTAGGCATTTTTCAGATTAACTGTCTTGAAAACAAAAATTCGATCTTTGCGTCCAACATAAAATTTACTAGCAATGTTAGGTAGCTTCTATTTGTCGGCTAACATCTTCAGTTACGCGATCCATGTATATATACCACGATTAGCAACAAAGCAAGTGTGACACATGGGACGTGGGAGCTGGAGTGATCCCAGATGGTTTCAAAGAACGGATCGGGTTATTCGGTCAACACATTAGAGTCAAAGTATCACATGATGCCCCAAGCGCGAATATCGGCAGCTGCTAACTGGCAAGCAAGGTCGACCAGGTACCCTACACGTAGAATCAACGATTCAGAAACTGGGGATGTGAGCAATCTAGAAATGATGACTACGTTTTTCGGTAGCTATCAAATTTTTCCTCGAGATTTTCTAGGTGCAATTCGCCAACCGAATACTGTTGATATCAGCACGTTATTTCCACACGGTTGAATTACGATATGCAAACGAGGGCCAACGTTTTTTTCATCGGTTACTTAGTTGTAGGGGGGTCGTTCTTTCGTTATTGTTAGTATCGCAACGACAACGATGAGTTAGCGCGTCTGGGTCTGTTCTTCCTTAGACTGGGCATGGCCACATTTACGATTACTATGTGTGACAACCCTACAATAATAAATGATGAAAATTTTTCTAGCAATAGCCGTTTGCTGTGCTGGATAAGTGTTTCGTTACGGTTAATCCACCATCACCTCTAATCGACCTCGCTTCACCATACAATTACTCTAACCTGAATTTAACAGATTTATTAATATCCCAGCTTTATCTATTACCTATGTTGTCCTTATCACTATAGCGCTATGGAGTTTTTATAGTATAATATTATAGATAAAATGTCAGTTGAGACTTTAATGCATAGCAACATGGCGTATCGCTTGACCGCTCCTCACATCAGCACTATTAATAGTTCGTTATATGAAATTAATGATTAACGGACAGATAGAAGAAGAAATTGATAGACTGGCGATCAATGTTCTATCTGCAAGCAAATGAGATATTTATAGAGAGAACTTTATAGCAAACGCAATCATTTTAATATTATTTTTGTGTATAAGATTGATTCACGTTAAACACATTGTTATTGGTTATTATTATAAGTGGCAAATGTAAAGGTGTCGTTGAACTGGCAGTCGGCATTTCGCTGTGTCGTAGTTGCCGTGATATGACTGTGGGGCTGCCTGTGTCGTATCGTGTTGTTTTTCATACTGTTATTTTTATGAATATCGTATGCCGTGAAGGATAGGTTAATAGGGTAAGTCGTCCCAAAGTTTATCGAGTCGATACCACGTACTGTTCTTAATATGGTTTTGTAGACGCGGTGTGATTGATGTTAATTGCAAGGATTAGGTGACCGCAAACCTTGTGGCCATCCTCGTGTCCATTTTTCGGAGTTAGTGCCAAAATTTCTTTGGTGCCTCACAGCGTCTCAAAACCATTAAACTGCCACAAGTTGACAGTCTTTCTCTTTTGTCATAGTCGTAAATGAAATTTATCGATGACGTTCGGTTATTGTTAATGTGCGCCATTGAAATAACTGCTTGGACACCGCTTATCACAGCAGATTTCGTAACCGCTTGTAGACCGTCGCTATAGTGTAGCGGTAAAATGAACCGTCGTTATTTGATAAGATTAAATAGAGATGGACTGATGCGAACACTTGGCCCATTTCCATTACACATATTAGACAAGTGACGACGACGACGACGACGTACGTTAACAAGGAACACATACAGCAGAATCACGTCAGGTTAGGTTTTACAACGCCTGCTAAATTGAGACCGGCTGCGGTCATGGATAATTGTTATTGTCATTCCTGCATTTTACAAGCGTCTTACAACAGACAAGTAAATTCGAGGGTGCAAACTGAAGTGAATGAGTCGTTGCATGTCTATGCAAATCTATATAATAGAGAAGCAAAGGAAGACCCGTAATTTGACCATTTGATTGCGCGTCAGTGGTTTTTTTTTGGCATCTTTTGCCGCCAATAGTTTTATTTACAAATTTTGTAAAAATAGTCATAAATCATCATCATCATCATCACCATCATAATCATCATCATCACCATCATAATCATCATCATCATCATCATCATCACCATTATCATCATCATCATCATCATCATTGTAATAATCATTGTCGCCATAGCCATTATTTCTATCCATTCAACGCACATATGTGTGTGTATTTGCAATTTCGCTTTTTACCCTTCTTCACAAACACGCTATGTTTCCACAGTATTCTTTACGTTTTAATTAATTGTCTATACTAATTTCTGTCTAATCTATGGAAAAGATCTTTCATCAAATCCTGTCGGCCGCCAGTTCTTTTTCGTCGAAGATATGTACATATGTATAGTTCAAATTTTAGTCGATAAGTGAATAAATATACGTTTGCTTAAGATAGATTTCTACTTCATCTTTGCTATTTTCTATATTTTTATTTGCTGTTTTCTTAGTAAATTAGAGATTTTCCCCTGCATGTATTTACTCATATAATCCTTTGTACTATTATTAGTATTTATAATCACTTCACTTCCTATGCGGGCTCTTTATTGCTGAGACAATTCATGCTAGCGTTTTTTTTCAAGGCATCCTTAGTGATTAAAACTTCGCACATAAATAAACCCCGCGTGTCTCCGTAGTACGCGAAATATCCGCGCTGTGGAGATAAAGTCACAACGGGGAAAACCTATTTGCTGTCGGACGTTCACGTGAGGGATAAATCAGCAAATTTTACGATCGCCAACTGCAATAGACCTTTTTCAGTAATCTCGCCTTCTCCCCATCTATAATGTGTTTGTAATTATGTACTCGTATATTATAGAACTGAAATTGATTTCGCACCGTGCAAAATCTGCTATGTCTCTTAGTCGCTAATTTGGTAGCATTTTCATCATTGTATGAGGTATAACCGTAGATACGTTCGTCTTTGTTTATGCAGTGGATTGCTTGTTGTTTGCGTAAATATCTGTTGTTTCTCTTGTTGTTATTTCTGTCTGTTTGTATGGATTATCTTTTGTGTAACACTCTCTCGTTCATCTTCTACCTGTGAACTTTGAGTTGTGGAAAGGCAATCTATTATAAAGTTATCTTACGGTTTGATGAGTTGACACAAGGCCAAAAAAAAACTAATAATAACTAGGTCAATTTCAGACTCCGATGAAGGACCAATTTAAAATACATACTTGCTTCTCTCTCCCGTCTCTCTCTCTCTAAGCCACTTTTTCATTATATATATATATATATATATATATATATATATATATATATATAGCAAAAGTGCCTTTCACTATCGTTGTGAGAGCGAGCAGTGAGGTAGAAGATTTCTTTACTGTTCAGCCGTCTTCAATTCGTCCACTTCGACGCTAAGAGGCAAAGCTTTCGTTGCAAAGTGCAAAGTTGACTCTAACTTAAACTGTTACCATTGACATTATTTGGTCACCAAGCAAAACAGATCAGGTTAGACCACTTCGGCAGAATATCTATCGAAATTCGTTTGTACTTGGCACTGCACTGCGCCAAATCATCTTCTGCTTGCTTAGATGCCGGTACTCTCTCAAAGAGGTCTGCATGTTCTCACCAAATGGTTCGCATCGAACGTGCCGCCAAATGGTTTGCACGGTAATATATATCTTATTTATTATATAATTTTACTCGTTCCTTGCTCTAGAAAATTGTCCTCTAGTACATGAGTAATTTTTGTACGCTATTTTACCGGTACAAGTTTGTATATAACAAGTTCCGCACAAGCACGGAAGTGTGCGCCGCTTGAAACCATATATATATATATATATATATATATATATATATATATATATATATATGTAGATATATATATATTCTTTCATTGTAATTACCGCTATCCAAAGTTTGCATATGAATCTTGAATTATGTCATGTTTAACAGTAGATGACGTTTTCAAGTTAAATCAGAGTCAGCAATAGTGTCCTTCATAAAGGTAGAAAATTTCTATTGGACGAAAAATATAACAGGACGTCAGGAACACAGGACAGCAAAAAGATTTGTGCCAATCGCCATATTGCGATCTCTCGATTCAAAGTTATCGTCTCTACGCGACTGAAATGTTTCCTAACGAAAAAGAGACTGGAAATCTAAAAACCGTTTATCAAACGAATCACACCGACCGATAACTTTTCGGATCCATTAAAACGATTTTATCGGATGGTGTCATCCTAGTAGTTCACTCCCGAGATTCGCTCTTGACAGGATCGGTACATGTCGATTTATAGAAGTAGAAAAATTGTTAAAAGCAAGATGGCGTAGTCGTGACAAATACGTTTTCTATTACTGCCTATTAGACGATACACACCTGGAGTCACCCCTGATCTAGCCAGAGTGATCCATCCAGTCCATGTGAGATTGATCCCTGAGAGCGGTTCGACCGTTTCAAGACTACTCTTGAGCGGTGCGGTAAGGGCCGCAGTTAGGCCTGAAGTAGCCTGGTAGCCGCCCTTCGACAGAGCCGATCTTAGACCGCCCGCTGATACGGGTGGTCCCGAACACCTGAGACCCCCCTACGACCACCGGTTGGTTTACCGCTTGTCACTGTAATATATTAGAACGTTTAACATCACACTTACACTATTCTTTAATAGTAGCAGTAGCATCTGCAGTAGTCCTACAAAAACAGGAATAAAACGCAGTGTCATAATGTATGTGCACCATATGTAAATCTCTATTCAAATATATGCTAAATATAAATATGGAACTAATATTTTTTTAATCTGTTTGACGCTATTGTACGCAGATGGATAAGAAACAGAATTATATTAAGCCCTAACTAGATCTTGCAACAAATAAATATTCTTTCCGGACACCTTGAGTATGTTCACTTAAGTATAAGGAGCAGAAAAACCTATTTTTTATATTTTATGACATGCACACAAAAAAATTGCACGGCCTAGAAGTTGCTTCGGCAGCGCAATAAAAAAACCTTCACTCTGCGATGAGATTCAGTGCATACGGATCGCAATGGACCTGACAATGTCCCTTCCTCTGATACTTTGCCCTAAAAACTGCTGCTAACGATTATTTCGCCGAATCTCGTTTCACTGAATAATAGCGTTATGTACGTACATTTATATATATCTGTTGTAGCTGTTTAGGGTCGGCCTGGCTTGGATACAAGTTATATTTAGGCGTGTACTGCCTGGCGGCCAAATCATCACCTAAGTGACCTAGACCGTTTCAAAAATCTGTAAAAGTTGATTGCGTCGTTTACTTATAGACTATCTTCCGTTTCGTTCTTAAACGTAAATACAAAAAAAAAATTATCGTGAACGTGTCTAATAATAATATAGGCAAGGCTGATTGCACATTTATCCGTATGAAAGCCCAAAAACCTAGAGCCTTTTGCATGTACAGGAGGCATCAAAAAGTGCCATGATGCTATCAGGTTATGGAGTTTGGTATAACACTTATTCAGAAATTCTATGGCTCTTGCATAACAATTCGGATTTACTCGATGTCCACTTAACTATGGGCACTGTCATTACGGCCGGAAATATAAGATAGACGACAAAAGATTGCACAGAACTGACATACTTCTTAATTTTTTTCCCAAAAAAAAATAAAAGCCTGCAATCCCCGGCGAGAGACAAACATCAGACATTTGTACAAAAACATCCACTCGGAATCATTCTCCCTTTGACTCAGCGATACAAGTGCCGCTGTCAATTTGTTTATAATCGTGTTACAGGTTTAGTACACACTTGATTTTCCTAGCAAAAGGTAATTTTAACTAAATATTAATATTATAATAACACCCTTATATGCGGCCTCTTTGCATTTACTAGATGGGGGAGATATATTAGCAGATCTGTGATAGCATTTCTATATATATAT